ATATACAGTTTTAAAGGTAAGCTTGAATTACATCTGGAAGGAAATTGTGAACCAATACAACTTGTGCCACTGGTATGGAATATGGGTAAATCTGAAGACACACATCACTAACCATGCCACTGCATTTTGACCAGTTGTAATTTCCAGGTAGTCTTAAAAAGCAGCCCAATGTACAGCATGCTGCAGGAAAGGGCATAGCTGACACAGATCTGTGCAAAGATGTCAGAGTCAAAAATGAAATATCACTAGGCTGGGGGGACCCAAAATCCAGAGCCACTCTGACTTGCCAGGGTTACCAGGATCAAATGAAATTCTCCATTCTCTCCTGACAGCCTCCGGACACTCAGCTAGACTGCAACAGCATTCATCTGTCCAGTTAGTGGTGGAAATGAATAATGGAATATCTTCAGCATTCTGATGATACTGAACGCCATGCCATTAGATTATTTCCCCCAGAAATTTCATGTAGGTATTAAAGAGGCGAGTAAAAAACCTGAAACCCAAAGAAACATCCTTCATTCACCTCTCCTTCTCCACCAACACTGACTGGAACCACAAAGTAGAAAGTAGAACATTGCCGCTACCCAAAGTGTCTCCCATTCTCAACTACTAAAAATGAGCAGCAACATGTATAGAAAGCTGATGTAGAACTTTCAATCTCCTTTTCTCCCATCTGCATTTAATTAGTGGGATTAGGAGGAGCCCCTGTGATACACTGTTTAAAAGTGCAGTATCACAGACAAACTCTGCCCAGTCTGGAGTTCAATCCTCACGGGACTCATCCTTCCAAGGTCAGTAAAATAATGTTTTACATCAGTGGTTCTCAACCTACTTGGTCACATGGGGTCCACAAAGACTTGAAGAAAAATTATAATTTAATTTAAAAGTTGAGTCTTGGGGGGTCTGTAGCCAAAAAAGGTATTTAAAGGGGTTCCATGGTGAAGAAAAGACTGAGAACCACTGCTCTACATTGTAAACCAGAGAGTAATGTAAAGCATTATGGGGTGGTATATAAGTCTAAATGCCATTGATATTGCTATCAGAGCCTCATCTCATCTAAGTAGAAAGTAGAACACCACCACCACCACCACACAAAGTGTCTCCCACTCTCAGCTACCATAGCTGGTCCAGAACACCACCAAGGTCAATGGCATTGAAAGCTCCTAAGAGGCCAGAATGGTTGCATCACCCCCATCCCAAGCTCTCCTATACTCATCTACAAGCATAAGGTTTTTAAAGAAAAAAGTTACCAGACCAATAAAAAAATAATAGATGAAAGGACTTTAAAGCAATCATCTTCCGTGTTCAGTGTATAAATGTCCTGATTGTAAGAAATGGATGGAAGGGAAGGGAAAGGGAGAGTGTATCACTAGAAAGTTATCCTTTAATGTTTTTATTCATGCTTCTTACTTGTTTCTCTGTTTTATATCACTGTTACTATCAAATTAGACTTTTCCTTCCCCTTTAATTGTTAGCAAACAATAAAAATATCTTTTTAAAAAAAAAGAAATAATAGTAGTCTACTCTCTTCAAATCTCCAGCTGTGCTAAATTACAAGTACAAGTACTATCTTACCTTATCCAGTTACAACAATCTGGCAAAGGGCTAGATATGATGGGGTTAAACCTTATCCATAGAGTAGGTTAGAGCAAGATAGATGAGTGGCTACCTTAGACTGTTTCCTCGAATAGTTAATGTATTTTTACAAATTCCTTTATTATCTTGTGTAAAGTCAATCGGGTAAAACAAATGGCAAAAAAAATACACTTGGCTAACATAATTATATCAAAAGCTTTACAATAAACCATTTAAATTGTCAGTTATGTGTCTAAAACATTTCTATTGCTCCTCAACAGGATATGAATATAAATCTCTTTTGTAATGCCTTCTAAAAACCTTTTTTTAAATTCTTTTTTGTGTGGCAGTAACCCAGCTGAATTTGCTTTTAACAAAGTTACAGAGAAATTTTTGAAGATGTGTCTAATGGAAAATTAATAATACCAAACATGTGTCCTTCAATGTCAAACTCCACTGCCAATCTATACAAGAGAAGCAATGTTTGCAGAGTAAACTTTGACAGATAAGCACACCCAAAGTGGTCTTCTCCATATCCATTGAGTGTAGCAGTGGACTTTTACACTGAAGGACACATGCCTAGAATAAGTCCTATATGCTGCACAACTTACAGAAAATGTGGCATCTGTCTCGGAAAGCAGAATCCCAAGATAGTTCCATGTCTGTCCTAATCAGCATAGCCAGAGGACCATGTTACCATCCTCTGGTGTTGACTGGGGACAATTAAGTCAGTTGCTTCTTTGGGTTTTTTGTTTTTTTTCTGCAGACTTTTTGTTTCCAAACAGTCCTTCTCTGTGGGCTCACGTGGCCCTCCCCATCCTTGCCCTCTTTGATCCACTTTCCCCCCATGGCAAAAGAAAGGGAAAGTGTTTCCAGATGAACTCTCTTTGTTTGGCTTGGTCTTATTTACACTTCAGGGGGTTTGAATGCTCTTTTCTTGATGGAGAAAAACTTTACTAGAGAACTCTGAATTACTATAACCACCAGCATTAAAATGAAATGTTTTGCAACCATCAATGCTATTCAGTTAAGAAAAACACATTTTCAGTCTTAACATTCTCAGGAATCCATCACCATTTTCTAATGCAAAAATATGTTCAATTCTCAACAGAAACATTTATAAGTTAGCAATCTAAAACAATGAAGTGAAAAAAGCAAGCAAACAAACAAGGGGAAAAAAAACCCTGCTGAATATTATGAAAATATGCTGAACATTATGAAAAAAACATTAGTATGTATTACTGTAGTAATTGGTGGTTAAACAACACTTTCCTACCTGTTGAACTTCACTTTCTCCATTTGAGATTTTTTCTGTGTACACAAAGGAGTTGAATATCCGCTGCAACAAAATTAAGAAAGACCACTTAGACATCAAGGAACAATTATCATGGTTTTAACATATTCAGAATAAAAAGCAGCTGGATTCAGTACAGGTATTATAAGGCAAAAGATTAAAGTTTAAAAGAATTATCATAATAGAGAATGAAAAACCACACCAGTTTCATTAGACACACATATGCTTCCTTAATTAAGTTAAACATATGTTTTTATTTTGGTGGAAAGAGACTAGGATATTGCATCCAGAGTGCCTGCTATTGTGTTCAAATGGTATAAATTTAAAAAAGCTATGCTTTACATCTGAAATCTGATTTTGCCCAAGTATAGGAATTGTTTACATATACATTTAATTCAATGCAGCTTTTAAAAAATGTCTCCCCACCCCCAATCTCTTTACTTTTTAAGCTTTTCTTCTCTGTTAATCTCAATTCATTAGGAACCAGTCTAGACTTCTAAACTGCTTTTATTTAATATCATGTAGAGGCCCCCGTGATGGGAAGGGATGGGCTTGTACTTCCTTCTCCCAGTGCTGATGTTCACATGGAGTACCGCCACAGGCATAATGCAACTCCCAAATTTGAAAGTATGTTTTTTTTTTTAACCAGTTCGATTCCTTTTACACTTTTCCTTTTTTTCTCTAGGTCAGTACCAGTGAGGAATACAAAGTAAAAATTTAAAAACGATTTTTATTATTAATCATTGCCCTTAAATTATTCCTCTGGGAGGTCAAGGCTGGCATTTGTAGTTTTCCCTCCTTTTATATACCCAGATCTGAAAGGTTAAGTTGGATTCAGGCCGAATGGGACTTGAAGCTGGATCTATCCAATAGCTTATATTAACCATTATAGCCACTTCATTTATATTTCATTGGAATAAAAGAAAGACTCCATCTTCTTTCTCTCTAATAAGACAAGGGCAAGAAATTGCTCACTGTTCAGGCACATCCTTGAACCAGAAACTTCCTAATATAACTCAGCAGCATCCAAATAACCCTGTAAAGATGAGGAGAAAGTTACCCTGAGGCCTACAGGAACCAGGAGCCTTATACTCTTGTTCCTTCTTTGCTGTATGCCTTCAACCAACCTAGGACCCAAAGGAAGGTATAGATGAGAAGCAGCATGTATAGAAAGCTGTGGAACCTTCAATCTCCTTTTCTTCCACCTGCATTTAATTGGTGGGGATTAGGAGGAGCTCCTGTGGTACACTGTTTAAAAGTGCAGAATTACAGGCAAACTCTGCCCACAGCCGGGAGTCTAATCCTCATGGGGCTCAAGGTTGACTTCCCTTCCGAGGTCAGTAAAAGGGTATTTTACATTAGTGGATCTCAACCTGCAAGGTCACAGGGGGTCCACGAAGACTTGAAGCAATATTATAATTTAAATCTTAAGTCTGGGGGGGGGGTCTGTGGCCAAAAAAGGTATTTAAAGGGGTTCCATGGTTAAGAAAAGATTGAGAACCACTGCTCTACATTGTAAACCAGAGAGTGTTGAAAAACGTTATGGTATAGAAGTCTAAATGCCTTTGATATTGCTATCAGAACCTCATCTCATCTAGGAGGGTCCAGACAATAGTACCTAGGCCAAAAGGGGAATGCAGATACTTGCCCTTCAGTCTATGCTATTTAACAGTCTTTGCTAGCAACTTAAAAAGGGAGTGGCTGTTTACAAATTAAGAAAACAGCAGTGCCTTTTATTCGCGAGGGTGGGTGGGGACAAGAAGAAATCATATATTGGCACAAAACAGCTAATTCATTTTCTTCTTCCCTATAGGAAATAGGAAGGCTTTGTTATCTGCTGTCTGTTCTGTTCATAACCTCTTTCATGTTAATGGCTTGACTAAATCTAAGGTTTATGGCAATGCCAAAACGGGAGCACAAGCGCAATGAGCACCAGAAACCGGAAGAGCAGTTCCCTGGCGCGCACGTGCAGGAGCATTAGAAACCAGGAGAACACATGCGCGTGCCAGGAAGCTAAGCTTTCGGTTTCAGGTGTGTGCATGCTCACCAGTCACCTGGTCTTCCAGTTTCTGGCACGCATGCATGCATGAAGACCAGGTCCCAGAAATCAGAAGACCAACAGGTGACGGCTGGTTTGCCTGGAGAAATGGCTCTGCGTGTCACTTCTAGCACGTGTGCCATCATGCGTCTATGGGCAATTACAAAGAAAATATATACTTTGAAATTTTATATATACATTGAATAACAAGGAATTACTTTTAAATCTTGTTTTTCTAAGAGTTTTTGAAATGCAGAAATTCTTATTCACTATGAAATAAGTAATTACTCTTCTTTCAATTCATTTTCTATCCTAAAGATGTACACCTGAATTTATTTTTATTCTTTATCATTCTATATCATGAAAGTGTTATCCTAGAACCAGTTCTAAAACAAGCATGGATTAAATATAAACTTACCAAAATCTTTAAATTCTTTTAGCATTAATAAACAAATAAATTACAAAGGAAAAATATAACTTCTGAGATTTATTATCCAAAATAGGTTGTATATTTTATTAAGTATAATTAATTTGAATTATTTACAATCATCAAGCTAATAGCAAAAGCTGTGGGGTTCTTGGTGCTCCTGGAACTTGGCTTTTTTCTCGCAAATGTTTCATTACCAAATTAGGTGACATCATCAGTGTTGTTCATAGCTTAACTCTGAGCTAGAAATATTCTCTTCAAAACAGCGTAAACACCTATATCTTATATTCCATCTTATGGAAAAACACACACTGACACTGTTAATGGAATGCACATCTTAGTTAAACCATGTCCTTTCTTCTATTAAGTGAGTTTGCAGGTGTATATGAAAAAAAAAATCTTAAGACCATCTAGCATTTAATTCTGTACAATAAAAATATATCTTCTGTCTCTAAAGTCAGAGGTTTAAAGTTAATTTTATGCAAAACATTAGAATACTTATTGAGAATGAACACATGCTCTTGTTCAGATGTACATCACTATTTAAAAAAAACACAATTAAAATATCAAGATAATAAAAATTAAAGAAGTATGGGATGGAAGAGCAGTGGAAAATAATATTTTGTAGGAAAATGGACATGGATCAAATCTCTGTAAAGATTTTGTTCTTTTCTATAGATGTCATTCTGACTGTCTTGATTAAGTTCGGCTCAGTCCTCTGACCTCCACATTGCACTCAAGGCAAGGAAGCAAGTGTTATATGTAACATCAAATCAAATGAAGATATAAAAAGCAGATTGGCAAGACAATTTTCCCCAGCAGTCTTTCAGCCATTATTCTACTGTGAAATAATCTTATATTTGTTCCACTGAGCTGATAATTGTCACTTTCCCTGATTTCTTTCCCTCTTGGGGATTTCAGGAATTTTAGAAATTTGAACTCTTGATTTCACAGCCACCCTTGAAGAGGGCACCAGTAAGTCTTCTGAGTTTTCAGGTTTCAGTGAGCTTAAAGGGATTAAAAAAGTAAAATACAACTATTTTAAATGAGCAACAGTCAAGTGCCCTTTCATTCTACAGCTTTATTAAAAGTTCTGATAAGTTACTAGCACTACAAATATTGTCCACCTCATCCTATTATGTTATGAACACAATTTAATATCAGAAGAAAAGACATTAAAGGGGTATCATTTTGATGCAAAAATGATTTTCTTTTCTAATCGAATCTCTGGACATCAAAAGAAACAAAGGAAATAGTCCCAACTAACATTATGACTTCCATCTATAGTGCAAAGCTAGTCTTTTCTTGAGCTTTATATTTAAAAATGATAAAACTGTCCTTTATTAAAGAAGAAAAATTATATTCTTTTTATTTTCACTAGAAAGCCAAACAAAATATGAAGTTCAAAAGATGCGATCTTATTGAACAGAGAAAAGGCAGAATCAAATTATTGTTATGTAACAAGCAATGCAATAAAGTGATGAAGAAATGTTATTCTTAGACTTCCAAAACCTTCCATTGAATACTTTGAATATGGTTAATAACAACTATCATAGGTAATAATTCAATTTACAACAAGAAGCTAGCATTTCAAGAAGCAGCAGAGATGGCTTATTAGTATATCTGACACAAGTTTGTTCATGAAAGTCATCCATCAATTTTTCAAAAATTATGAAATAAAGTTAACATTTGGGGAAATCACCAGGAATAAAGATAGGATAACATAATTTCCTTACTGCTAATATTTCCTTTTCTTGGGAAAATTGTTGAGAAAAAAATTCTTGTCGTGTGTGTGTGTGTGTGTGTGTGTGTGTGTGTGTGTGTGTATCCATCCATCCATTCCTCAACTATATAATTAATGTTATTAAATATTTCATAAAGTGAATTTTGTATTTGATAGTAGATTTATCTTTTTATTGATCTTTACAATGTAAATCATTTTCTGAGCCCAATGGCACATAAATACTATATATAAACAAACAAAAATGCTTGCTACAGGACTATAAAAACTAAGAGGAAATCAAATTGTCACCACAATAGATAAAGCATATTCATAAAACTTGTGCTGTTTGGCCTACTGTCCAAGAATTTGAACTGTCGAGGCCCAATTCTAACAAAAATAAATATTTGTTAAACCCAGTGAGACAGAGAATAATTGCTCCAAGTTAGACTAATATTGTAATGATAGACTTCCAGACTATAAAAATCAGAAAGAAGTCCCATCAGAGGCAGTGTATTTCTAGACATAACCTCTTGGAAACTCTTATTTACCCTCAATAAAGAAGAACTGGAAACGTACCAAATATTTCATCAAGGTACTTTTTTAAAGCCAAAAGAAGGGGGGAGCAAGAAAATTAGTTCCATATGCTAAAACAATTCAGCATTTAGTATATGTATGTAATTTGACTAATGTTATAGTCTTGACAATGTACATGGCAATCTTTCAGAAAATTAAAGCTGATGTTATGCAATCTTGAAATATAAAGCAGATGGTAGGGAACCCCTCCCCCAGATACACTATTATTTGTCATCATGTTAAGACTGGGAGTAGAGAATAAAGAACATTTATTATACTCTACA